CACTCCAAATCCACACAAAACCCCTACGAACGTGAAGGAAGAAATATAACGAAAGAACTGGTGTCAGAACAGAGGAAAGCCATTCCAGAGGAGATGAAGACTTTTATCCACTGGCCTGTGGACTCACGCAGCTCTGACTAGTAGCAACCTCTAAAGGTTGTTTGCTTGGGTACCTCATATTTCAAGGCGTACAACAAAGCGCTTTTTAAATCTTTGACATCCGCCATTCCCGGAGCTTTCTGTATTTCAGGATCCTGGATGCCGTCGATAAGGTATTGCAGGGCAAGATTTCTCTTGTTTCTGTTGGGCACTCCAGATAGGCGAGATGGGACAGCTTTTCAACATCTGTGGCGAGTTCCTGGAGTGTTTCCGTGTTTTCTGTTGCCGGGATGTTAACTGAAGCCTACTGTAGTCTTTCAAACATTTCTCTCCAAACCGCAGCTCCAAAGTGCCAGACAGAGCTTCGAAATCTACTGTTTGGTTTTCGGGAAGAGCCTGAAGGCTATCTGCTGCGTCTGCTCTCAAAGAAGCAGCGAGATTACAGGCCTTAGCTTGGGAATCCCATCCATTCACTTCCGCAACTATAGAAAATTGTGTCTTATGCATTTGCCAGGAGGTCTTCCCATCATATGTAGATAGCTTCAGAGAGGGACGAGCAGGCATAGATAGAAATTTAAAACCTTCAGAATTGTTTCCTGCTGTTGCTATGCACTTCTTTAGGCTGTCAACTTCTTTTGTGATGGCAGCAGAAACCCTGTCATCAGTTTGTTTGTTGGACAGCAGAAACTCTTCCTCTGCTCGTTGCTTCACAGCAGAAACTCTTTCTTCTATTTGATCTTTTACAGAAGAAACTCTATAATCGATTTGTTGTTCTACAGCTGAAATTCTTCTATTTGTTCTTTGACAGAAGAAACTTCTTTTTTTTTTTTTTTTTTTCTTTGCCCAACTTCGTTTTCAACCTTGTCTATTCTGCCTTCCATAGCTTCGAATTTATGTTCTATTATGCAGATAATTTCTCTTTTCATCTTTTCTTGTCCTGTTTCAATCTTTTCCTGATTAGATTTCGTATCCTCTTTAACGGATTTAATCTCTTTTAACCCATTAGCCGCTGGTGTAGCGTTGACGCACCAGTCAAAATAAATGCGTATATAAATATAACTACTTAAGATATTTTATAGCAGCAGATGATTTTGTGTAGGAAATATTATGAAGATTATTTCTGTAAAAAAATATTTGCCTTCAACAATCATTTTATTTATAATAATTAATCTCGTACTTTAAGCAAAATTTCCGACCGGGTATTTTTGCTGAAAATATTTACCGAATGAATCGCTGTCTTTATGAGTGGTATATTTTTATTCAAGGTGACCATTTATCAGAACATTACATCAGTCAGATGTTTATATTTGTGTTGCGAAGGAAGGGAAAACAGGTGTTGCTTTGACACAATGTCAGCAGGAAACAATCAATCTCCTTTTTCATTCATTCCTTTCGATGTTCTGTTTCATGTTCTGGTTGTTTAAAAATGCCTAGAACGAGGTATCTTACATTAGAAAAAGCCCTTTCAAAAATTTTTTGATGAAGGAACAGATGATGATAAAATTAATAATGGCCAGAATGAAACTGATGTTGTTGTTCCCCCAGAAATTGCAGAAGCTAGTGACAAAGAAAAAAGGAATGGCAATGTTTTAAATAATGATAATGATATTTTACCAAATGATACTGCTGGGAAAGTTGAAATTCACGTAAGAAGTAAGTTTCAGCCTTCTAAAAGCAGTTATAGTCATACTAAAATTTAAAAAGCAGAAGACTGAAATCTTGAAGTGGATTAAAAAAGAACTGTTAGTTATGTCTCAGGAAGAACATGAAGAAAGAAATAGAAGAGAAATTATAAAAGACAAAATACAAGGTAAAACTAGTGCACAGATTTTCGATTTTCTTTTTAGTTTAGTTATTTATTCTCTTCTCGTTGAACAGACAAATATGTACGCTAAGAAAAAAAAAAAAAAAAGCTCAGAATTTATTGCATCTGAAGCCTATATGAGAAGATTTATTGGAATATTATTGCGTACAGGATATCATTCTTTACCTCAAGAAAAAATATATTGGTCTTTTGATAAGGGCATTTCTGTTCCTGTTGTACGAGAATCGCTATCATGTTTGCAGTACAGAAATATGAAGCATAATTTGCATTTGACAATACTGATAAATTATATGAGGTGAGACCTTATCTAAACTTACTAAATATCATCACTTTTTACTACTGGAAATATAAAGTCTCTTTTAGATTTCAGAAGCGAGAATGCATTATTCCTTTTGCAAACTCCTATTAAGAGTGTAGAATTAGCTAGAAATAGATCAGCAACAGGAAGACCTAGTAAGTTCAGCATTCAAAAACCATTGCATGAAGATGGTATACATTTTATCGTAAAGTCCGTTGATAACAAAAGACTTTGTTGGAAAGAGTACCATAGCCAGACTGTTTATAGATGCAAAGTATGTAATGTAGCTTTACATCATGATTGTAATCATGCTTGAATCTTTTAATTGAAATAATCTGCATTTGTAAAAGAAATACAATGTATATTTTAATAATAAATTAATTACAAGTAAAGTTATTTGTAGATTTATAAAATGTTATACAGCTAAAAAGTAATCCTGCGCTCCACTCAAAAGAAACATCACACTAGTACAATCCTACTCACTAAACATCCGTAGTCTTATTCCACTGCCGGTGTGAGAACGCAACACTCGCTTTTTCCACAGGTAAGAGCATTTTTTTAGTTTCAATGTAAATTTATGTTATAAATGGTTAATTTAATATTTGTTATTATTTTCAAGAGAAAAGAAACATTTCTTGTAGTTTTGGCGGTTAATGGGTTAACGAAGTCTTTCATCTTTTTTTTTAAATGCATCAAAGGCTGCCATGAATTGCCTTAACTGTTCTTCTATCGCTCTTGTGATTGGCATTCAATATCCCACTTCTGACACCAAAAATTGTTGCATGAGTACGGGCTCGTTATGTATTGAATGCACAAGTCTGAAGAAAAATGAACAGAATTTTTTATTATCACAACAAATAAAACAAAATGCTTAAATTTCCTCAGCTCTTTGCACAATATTACAATGTCTCACAGTAGTTATCTTTTAACTATTCAAATGTTCAACAGACTTTTAATTCAAAACAGCTAAAAGAAAGCTAATCCGCGAATTCGCTACGGTCAACAAAAGCAGTTTTCTAAACAAACTCTTAAAACAACAACTAACTAACTAACGGACGAATTGAGAGGTTTTCATGTCGCTTATATAAGCTTTTTAAAAGAGTGAGAATTTTCTGGTATTTTCTCGATATCCAAAAGACATATTTATTATTTTTATTTATTAAATATTAAATGCACATTCTGTTGTATTTTTAATTTTCTAACTTAGCTTTCTATTAATATTCGTTATGCACTTCACTGCATGGGGAGAAAACAATTTTATTTATATTTATTTATTTACTCACTTGAGAACTAGAGAGAGAACTAGGCCAATTTTCATGGAAATTCTGGAAGAGAATCAAGATATAATAGAGAAAAATATTTGGTTTAAAGTTCTTAATATGACAGTGAAACAAAACGTAAAAGATCTCTTGCTTCGTTTGAAACTAGCTTCTGTTTCTTTGGATAAAATCCAGTAGAACAACTGCAGTATTACTTAAGCTGTTCAAGTTCGGAAAGATCTTGAAAATGGCTTGAAAAATCTTGATACATATTTATGCTTAAAATTATTTAAAACTCAATGTAAACTAGCACTTTGATCAGCATATATTTTTTCACCAAAATATAAAGCCTTATTAGCAAGTGAAAAGGAATGAATTGGTAGAAGAAATGTATGCAGCAATACATTGAAATCTGGAATTCATTTTCCATCTTTCTGCAGCACCTCTTTTTTGAAAATGAGGCAGTTGTTCAAATTCAAATTATGAAGATTGATGTTGAATGATCAAACTAAAGATGATGGTTAATATTTACAAAATCGTTAATTATATTCATCAGCTTTTCAGGCTTAATATAATTCAACAGAATTGAAATACAATAACAATCAAAGAATTAAAGCAGTTAAAAGGAACTTAATTTTCCTGATCAATTTTGAGTCTAAAATCAAACTGACTAAAAAGAAGAATGTAATGGGAGGTTTAGGAAGGGAAAAGGGTGGGTCATGTTTAATCCACAGTGCTAGCACAATCTATCAATAATCAAAACAGTTTTCATAGCAATCAAGTTAGAGACCACACTTGAGTGATAGAAATTGGTGATTGTTGTGAAAGAATGTATAGGGAAAGAAGAGAATTGGATATCATTGAAATGTTAAATATAATAAGAGCTTCATTAGCAGGGGTTGAAAGAATGTTTTCTACTTTCGGAATTGTACACAACGAATTGAAAAATAAGTTAGGTATGGAAAAGACTGCAAAACTTGTTCTTTTTGTTAAATCCCTGAATTCAAATGTCAATAATGCAGAGTATAAGAGCCATTCCTATACATTACTTTGATTGTTTATTTGTATTTATGTACAAAATATATAGCTGGAAGAGGGTCCCCCCTCATTAATATATATATAAATGTGTTATGTGTAAGTTTGTAGTTAAATAAATTGACTTTAGTTAGTTACTAATGCCAAAAGGCTGCCAATATATTTTTTTCCAATAAAATTATGTACTATTTACATTACCTTTAATTATTAAATAAATGTAAAATATGTATTGTGCTTTTTAATGTTATCTAATTAGAGGTTTAAATCACTGAAAATCTTCAGTGTGTGGTAATCATATAACTATATATGTCATAACAGATTCTGTTGTTAAAGCCTTTGCTGTCTCCACAAGGTTTTAGAAGTCGCATATATCCTAGTTTTGTATATGTTTTTGGTAATGCAAAAGCTACTTATTTTGTATATAAATAAAAATTGTTGAACGTTACTTGTAATATTAATATCCACTCTATGGAATTTTTTGCAGAAACTCTTGGTGTGCAATCCTGCTATGAGAATATCAGCTGATGAAGCTATGCAACATCCTTATTTTAGTGATTTACCACCAGCAATAAAAAATGGATGATTGTTTAAGATTATACTAAAACCAGTTTTTTATCTTTTTTAATTCTTTGTACATATAGTCAGAGACTTCATCTTCAACATTATTAATGAATGAGAACAATGAAAAGTCAGAGGCAGATTAATATCGTATACTGCAGTATTCGGTCGAAAACCGTGTACATGTGTATCAAATAACATAGATGTGGTTAAGAATATGTAAAATGTAATTTTCATTCCTCATTTGTATAGAAAAAAGGTGTGTAATCTTCCAGAATCTCTGAAATATACAACTCCTGTAGCAGATGGTTAATTAGTTCTATTTTTAAATTTCTTATTCGTAATATTCGAAAAAGGGGCATTTAATTCTTTCTTTTCTTTTATTTTAGTCTGCAAGCATGATAGAATTCTGATAATCCTTGTACCTCGGTATGATTAGTAAATTTTGTGGATCTCTTCCGAGTTTTGTTTACATTCTTCCCTTTCTAATTTTTACTTTAAATTTGAATTATTTGCACATAAATGACTAAAAAGATCTTACTTTTTAAATTATTTAACAAAGATCTTTATCCAATAAAAATATTTGTACAAAGGGGTTAAGAAAGAAAGATTAAATATGAAGTCTTAAAGCCCAAAGGTGCAATTTGCCTAGAAGGGCTATTAATTTAATTTTGGCATTTTGCGTTGGTTCTCTATAAATGGCACTTCGCTTTTCAAATTGTTGCCACCAATTATTAGAGCCCTCCATTATATTTAAAGAAATTAAATAACGAAGAATTTGCATGAATGTATGTATGTTTCTCGCACTGTGATAAAACAACAGTATCTAGAGCCATCAAATTTTGAATAACGTAATCTTCCACCAAATATGCTAAGCCGTTATTTGGAATTTGAAATTTATTTTATTACCTATTTAATATTTTGTAACATTTTAACGAATTTTTGATTAATAAACTCAATGATTTCAAAGCAAGAAATGGCAACACTTTACTGGGGGGGGGGAAATTATGCAAGACTGTGTATTGGAAATTTTAAAGATATGCTCTTTTTAAATTATTTTTGATATTGCTGTTGAATTGAGTTTTATGGTTTAAATGCGAAGAACATGATATTTAATAAATAAAGGTAACACACAAAACAACTTTAGATGTAATGTAAACCCCCCTCTTCCTTTTATTATTATTATTATTATTATTATTATTATTGAGGTTAGAAATTCTTATGCAAAAACTCACTAAAATATTTTATGCGTTAGCAAAAATGTATATCCACCTTTGAAATTACTTTTAAATGACTTCTACGTCAGGTGTTGAATCTCAGTAACAGCTTTATGTTGGAATTTAGGAAAGTTCAAACGTCACAGCTAGATTTTTCAAAATTCATATTTCATTTTAAAAGTATTTGAATAGATTTCAAATGGGAAAAAACTGCTGATAACTCCGTAAAGATGTAAAAAGAAATAAACTAATTACTTTCTTTTGGACATTGTATATTTCTAGTTTATAATATCTCATACATACATTTTATTTGCATAAGAGCCACGTCACTCGCCTGCAAGAGCCACACACGATTCGCAAACTGCACTGTTATGCTATTAAAAGAAAGAAAAACTAGGTAAATAAATAAATACACTGTTTGTAAAAACTTTAGCTGTTTGGTATTCCGTAAATTGGAACCCTGTGCGAAGTCCATCATATTCCACACTTATGCTGTTGGATTAATAATGTCACAAAAAATGAGAGTAAAAGTGAATGAGAATAAGAATTTCAATTCTAGCTTACAAAAAATGCTAGAATTGAAATTTTGGATTTATTAAAAGAAAACTTTAAGTTTTTTTTAACTTGTTACCATTGTTTTGATTTTTAATGCCACATAAATCTTTGCTGTCATTATTTTTATTAATCCACCATTATTTGCTAGTGATGTAAGCTGGTCTGCATTTGCAGTGATGGAATGTTAGCAAACTAGATATGATGTCCATTTCATTTGAAGTTCATCTCTCAAAAGCCTGTATGGAGATATTTTTTCCAAATGTAACCACACAAACTCAAAATTAAAAGGTAATGAAATAAAACCCCAGAGGTAATGATTTATTAAAAATAAATAATTTGCAAGTTCATGATTGCTGATTTTTATAGAAAATAGTTATGCAAAAAAATGTTAAATTCAATATTTAATCAATATGTTTTATTGATAGACTACACTTATTTTTATATTTAAACAGTAAAATTCCAGAAATCCGCAAAGCTTGGGACCAGAGGTTGTGCGGATTTCAGGACAGAAAAGATAAATCATAATATTCAGGCTAAAAGTGCAAAATAAATAAGGCGTATTAGATATATTTAATTAAATTATTATATACATTATTGCAATAACTTATTATATGCATTAAATTATTATTGCATTTATAAATTGATTATATTATTCATTGTATTATATATACACAGCATCAAGGTTTGCCAATTTCTTCTCATTCAAAGATTTCCGGTTTCGGATTCCGGTGTTAGAATCACTGTTGCTGTAAAGTGTCAACAGCTTTTCTTTATTTTTGCATGTATCATACACAAGGGTATCACAATTCCATATGATTCTGTTATAAACCAAGGAGTAGCACCTGTCTCCATCTTTTACATAATTTGCACTTTTTACATTACCATCAATGCAACGTGTTTGTGTTTTTCAACGTTGCTAGCAGTAAAATCATGAGTGCGTTACTAATCTGAAATTGTATTAAAAAGAGATGAAATTTGAAATATTCTTAATTTATCCACAAAATATCCGAATTAAAAAAAAAAGGCAGCTTTAAATAGTCTCGTGAAATAACAAGGCTCAGAAAATACAACGTGAATCGTGAACTTGAAAGAAGAGTTGAGTGAATTGTCTGCTTTCTTACCTCGATGCAGATTAGAGGGGGGAAAAACTTTTATCATGATGTGAATAATTTGGTGTTTCCATTTTGACTCATTATTATTTGTTAATTATGACATCATTATCCGTAAGTATTTTTTCTTCGATATTTCGTACTTAATGTTGCGGTTTCCGGAACCTGTAAACTGAATATTTATATTTTGAGAGGCAATGCAGATTTCAGGTGGGCGGATTTTTGGTATTTGACTGTATCAGAAAAAAATTACTATTAAATTCACAGAGTCAAATTTTCTAAAAATTGATTTTTTTAAAAATTGAATATGGTGATACGCACAGTGCTATGTGCGAGACGAAGGGATGCCCCATAGAGAATTTTTAAGGGAAACTGGCTCATATCCATATTACAGGATGCATGCCCTGGACCAAAGTACCAGTGTTCAGTGACTTTATTACTTGGCTGTTAGAGGGCCATAATTTTGTTTTATATCCAAAAATGCATATGGATTATGCAGTCACGAATTATCAGAATTCTACAGTGTAACATTTGTGTATTGTCATTTCCTTTTTATTAACATGTTGATTACGGCGCCAGTCCCCGGGGGCCGGCAGTGAACTTTCAGTGAGGCTGGCGTCGGTCCCTGGGGACCGGCACTGGAATTTTCGTTTGGCTGGCGTTGGTCCGTGGGACTGACAGTATTAAAGTTAGAAAATAAATATAGTCTCGGTGAAATGTGATCAAATTTAGTTTTAATGAAATGTATTGAAACATTCTAAACAAAAATATGGCTTAGCTCGCTGCCGGCTGAACGGAAAGGACAGCAAATTTGGCGCCACGCTCAACATGTTAAAAAAGTAAATAAATAAAATGTGTATAAAAAAGAAGATTGAATATGAAATTTAACTGCATTTAAGTTATTGAAATTGTAAAAATGTAATATTGGTTTAAAGTATGTATCTGTAATTTATCATGTAATTGAATATATATGTGGTAGAATTAAAGTAATTCATACATTTTATTAATTAACTAGTTTAAAGATTTATTGAATCAAAAAGAAAACTTGAGAATTTTGGATGTCTTTCTTCCCAAAGTCTCATTATGTGATAAATATTATTCCGTAAATAGTGTTGGAATGTAAAATTTCAATATCTTATCTGCCAAAGATGTGTATTTATATTATATTCATTTTGTTTTTTAGATAAACTGAAAGACTTAAATCTGTTTGTTATTGTTGTAATACTTGTATATTAGGTTTATGAATTTTTATGTATTGTTTTTATTAATAAAATTATCTTCATTTTTAACTTTGTTATTTTTTTATATAACATTGCATTTGTGAAAATAGTAGGTGTATGAACAATAAAGGTCTATAATCAAGATTTTGCACATTTTCAGGCAATTTTTCTGAATATGTTAATTTATTTCTGTGTTCCTATCTCGCAAAGTAGACTGATTATTATTTAGTAAGGCATTATGATACATTGTGTGTCAAAAGAATATGTCCGTCTCTAATTGCAATGTTGTATCTCTTCTCTGAGTGCTAAAATCTTTAAATTAGTATCATGTTTGAGCTTATAAAAAAAGCTCAAACATGATACTAATTTAAAGATCATGTTTGAGCTTTTTTTATAAGCTCAAACATCATTTTATATCATTTTTATATATGTGTGTATGTACGTGTTTATATGTAAATATACTATTATGTAATTATATTTTAATATATATAATTTAATTATGTTAAAAAATGATCAGTTTACTTAACAAGTTTTATCTTTATCTCCCCCTTCAAAAAGAGGTATAAATAATAAGTATCGTATTTTAATTTCCTTGCAATAACAATTACATATACTTACAGTAGTAGTAGTAGTGTGATATACAATATTACTAGCTAAATTAGCTAATGTTATCATATTGAAATATTTGGAGGATATAAAATTACTGCAAATTCTTTTGCATTCTTAAAATTTTAAATTTCTGCTACTCTTATGTTACTCAGTCATCTGATAGAGAGGGCATTGCCCTGTTGTGAAACTGTGGTCTGACTTAGTATTTTAAATATATATTTTCATATTTATTTATTTTTTAAATGATGTTTGATTTTGAGGCATGTCAGAAAAATGCAAAACCTTTTTTTGTATGCTGATCAAAGTGCAGTCTTTATTTCCTCTATAGAACCATACTGCTTATTGTTAACATATATACAACAACTACCTGTATTGCAGGATCTTTTTTTATGGGATTTCAATGCAGTGAGTAAATAGACCACTCTGACAGCTTTTACTATTAATTTTCACTATTAATCAAACCACTGTTTTGTAGCCTTAATCATAAGTATCAGCATTATCATGCATGTGAAATTATCTGAAAAGGCCTAGGAAATGACATGATTCCAGGCATCTTTTATCTCTTCTGTACTGAGTCCTGTCCATTCATGGATTTGTGTATACCAGTTGCAAAACTCCCATTAAATAAAGAACTGCTCCCAGGCGGCTGTTACCTTCAGTGTTTTGTACAGCAAAGAAACATGGTTTCTTTCTTAAGTCCCTCCAATAATAATTAAAACTGTCCAGCTTGACTATATAACACTTCCTTT